GGAAAAGTTAAGTCTGATTTAATGTCAGATAGTGAGAAAAAATAAAGGTTATATGTCTTTTTGTACAGTGGATGTAAACTTCTGGTTTCAACTGCAGCCCCGTACAGCGTGGGTTCTGTCCGGGTTCTCCGACTTCCTCCCACAGAAGCAGGTTGGCAGGTTTCTGAACTGATGAGTGAAGCCACTGTGTGCACAACGCGTCCATCAGGAGGGTCCACACAGGTTCAGGGCAGGTCGGTGAATGGAAGCCAACAAAAACATTGCATTAGTTATAAAAAGTGGATCACATGGAGTAAATGCTGTACAATTGCATGTGATGTTTGTGTCTCGCTCCATCCGCTTCCCCCTTCATGTGACATCCCGCTGCTCAATGACTTATTGGCATGAACTTAATGAGTCGAGTCTAACATGGTCTTGTTCTTTTAATTCCCAAATTTATGTACTATTGAGCAGGTGGTGTTAATGTCTGAGATTTTACTGGTTTCCCAGAAACAGAAACTAATAAATGTCTCAGTATTTTGTATGATACAACAACATGAGTCTGTCTTTGCTCAGTTGTTGAGTGTCCGTGGGATCAAATATAAACATGCTCACCACAGCTGTAAGTCTGGTGTACAGAATTAATAAGATTGTGGAGACTTGAAAACTAAGTGCTAATGTGCTGATACCTTACTAGCAGAAATGTCAGCACTGTTTGTCAGGCACATTGAGTACAGGTGTGCAAATACATACCTTGAATTTTATGCAGGACACAGCAGACGTTTACCTCATATTATCTTTTCTATCGCTGCTTTTCAACACTTACGGTTTTTCAGAATCAGACTGTGGGCCTTTCTTCCCCCCTGATTACAAGTCGAGGCAAGCTGAAAAGGTCAAGTGTGTAAAAGGAGAGCATGGGGTCCTATTTACCAGCTCTTCTCTCACAGTGCCTCTGATCTGCATATCGTCGACGGTTCGTTGTACTTCCTGTGTTTATTGCATAAATCATTATTTAGACTAAATGAAGGAGGTTCCAAATAATGACACATCTTTGTGCATCATTAGTAATTCAGCTGTGGTTCTGCTACATATAAAGACTTGTTTATGGGACACTAGAGACTGCTCAGGAGGCAGTATAAACAGGATGCCTTTCAGAGACACACAAATACAGCTAACGTAGGTTCGAGATTCCTCTGTGACAGGACCAGGATATTGTTCTGACAAAGTACCCACGCTGTGCTGACAGTTCCTCCACATGGACACTTAGTGGAAGCTTAACCCACCCTTGCACACCTTTCCGGTGTTTGCCTCGCTCTTTTGTCATCGCACTGAATTTTGGACCAAAAAAAAAAGAAGGAAGATGAGACCTGGCAAGTACATGCAGGATGAAGGGAAGTGAGTGGGAGAGGAGCAGTCAGACAAAGACAAAATATCCCCTGAACAGAGGGGATGATGATATGATCAAGTTGTGTGGATAACAAGTGCACAAGAAATGAATATTTTGGCAGAAAAAAAGAGCATCTGCTCTTCTTCCAGACATACATTAACTCAAACTATGTTGAAAATGCCTTTTATCCCCACAGTTGAATAACTATTTTCTAATCCTGTCAGATGTCGTAACTAATGATCCATTTATTTTAGTTTTATTTTACCTTAATTTACAATGTGTGTGCTACATTTACTGCACAAAACTAGTACAGTATATTATACTACATATATCCTACTAGACTTAACTAT